ATGAGAATCTATTGTTTGGTATACACAATTTTTTTTTGTTTACTCTTCACATAAATAAAAAAAACTATGTACCAACTTTATCAAGGATTTTTTTAAATTAACTTTTTTTAAATTTAACTATTTTTAAATTATATAAACGAGGTAGTTAATAAAATATTACTAACAAAATAAACACAATTTTTAAAGGTATAATAAAAGGAGAAAAATATAATATTGGATTATTATAATATAATTGCTATTATTTTTTATTATAGAAAAAAAGTGAACACGCAATTACACTATTTTATTTTAACTAGTGTTCAACAACAAAGATCTTTATTTATTCTAACCATAAAAACTTGCACAAATCTTCAATAGTCTCCCCTTTCAAATACAGCAGCAGCTCCCATACCAGAACCTGAAATTATGCACATTTCAATATGTTAATGGATGGGAAGAAACATTTACAATAGAAGCAACTAGAAGAAAATGAATAATTTTCTCAAGCTAATTTTTGATATATGCCGAAGAAACCTATTTCATTTAGCGTTCTCCAAAAAAAACTAATATTAACCAGACAGGTGTTGTTTAGATAAACTTATACACAACTAGCCTATATAGATATTACCCCCCTCCCCCTGTTGCCAGGTACGAAATTAATTACAAGAAAAGCTGGAAACAAATTTTCCCTTGTGTACAACAAACCTTGAAATGATTTACACAACATTAATTACCACAATTTTAGTGATATGAATCAGTAACAAAACTAAAGTGATAAAAAAATATACAATTGTTTTGACTTGTATTTATAAGATGGAGAGGCCATAAAGAAGAAATCACCTACCTATGCACATGGAGATTACACCATAGCGACAATCCCTGCCACGGCGTTTCATCTCATTCAACAAAGTTGCAACACATCGTGCACCTGTCAGAAAATGGCAGCATGAAAATTCACCAACAATGTCGGCACTAGGTTCATGATATAGATGAAAGAATTAATTGTTCAAATGTAGTGTTAAAAAAAAAGTAAGATGCTTGTTTTGATTGCATAAGATGAAAATATTAACATGAGTAAACATGTTACAGTAATGAATAAGACTGCTGCCCAATGGAGATTTAGCATTCGTCTTTATGGAGATTTTAGCATCTTCTTCCATTTAATAAGGGGCCAAAAGGAAGATTAATTTCTGATGAAAACATCTCAACATACCTGTGGCGCCCCCAAAGGATGTCCAAGAGCAATGGCACCACCATAACATTGACCTTTTGGGATCAAGTCCCAATTTCTTGCAGCAATAAACATACTGTGATGCAAAGGCCTACAAAGCCATTATATTGATAAATACTTAGTACAACATTAATTGAAGTGACTTGGCTATGAAAACATGTACAAGAAGAGTAGTTATTAATTAAGACCCTATTTGAATAAACTTTTCTTCTGAACACTTTTAGAAGAAGAAAATCAGAGAGTAAAATAAATTTACCTTCTTCCATAAGTGAAAATCAAGTAGTGAACTTTTATAAAAACTGTCATTTAACTTCTCCCACAGGTAAGATGTATAAGTTGACTTCAGTTTATAAGGAGTTAAATGCATTTTACTTCCTTATTTCTTCTCGTAGAACTCTTAAAATGTTCATAGAAAAGTTTGTCCAAAACAATGTCTGTAATGACAACTCTTAAAACTTTTACCTCATTGATTTCATATAGGTCAATGTTGCCAAGTTCAAGACCAGCAGATTTCACAGCGGCTGGGATGGCAGTGCTGGCAACAACCCATGACTGCGTCCTTAAGGAATCTACTCCAACAGACTGCGAAACTTTCCCTTTGAAAATTAAATGCAATTGTGAGACAAATTCAATTTTACAAATTTAAATAGAAAAAAAAAATGAATTAGGTTCTGTCGAACTTTTCGAGTTAGTTATCTGTCCATGTCTGAATAGGTTTCAAGTAAAATTTGAGTTACTGATTTCACATATCCTTTCAGCATATAATATTCTAATATAAAAAATGTGAAGCACATGGCTTCAACCCTTGAGTATCCTATATTACGGTCACTTTTTCAGACAAATTTACCCAATAAGTATATATATATATATATATATATATATATATGAATATTTTTCAATAGCTTCGCCTGCAGGAAGCCAAATGAGAGTATTTATTGAACAAGGATCTCAAAAACTTACATTAATCCAGGGAAACAACTAAAAGGCTAACAGATAAGAAATGTCTGAGCATTCAAGCCATTGATTTACTATTCAAAAAAATCTCATGCCACTCTCTTTATTTGTCCTGGTTTTGTATCAAATGGTTAAAATAATGTGTAACAATGCAGTGTGCGCACACAAATAAGAGGCTCATGCTTTTACAATTTTTTCATAAGATCCTCAATTTTCTCAGCAGCTTGAAACATATTTTTCTGCTTGACTTCATCCAACAGCAATTGGCAAGTTCTGAATCTAGGAATTATATCTTGATCAATCATCTCCTCAAACAGAGAGAACGCCCAATTGCATCTATCTCCTCTACAAAGCCCGTGAATTAGCAGCGTATAGGTTGAAAGATCAAGACTGAGATGATATTTATTAATCATGTCATTTAATATATCATTCAACACACTATCTATTTTTCCAGTTCTAAAGCAAGACTTGATCAATGGGTGGTAAGTCTGAGCATCAGGCTTACAATAGTCTGAATTTTCCATCTCCTTCAGTATTTCAAAAGCTCTCTTTTCTTGGGCATGATAACAAAACATAGAAATCAATGAATTATAGGTGGATGTATTTGGAGAAACACCAGCCTTGGGCATTTCCACGTTGAATACATAGGCAGCATCATCTAATCTACCTGCTCTCCCCAATGTATATAAGAAAGAATTGAAGAAAAGTGTATCAGCCCTACATCCAGAAGACCTCATTCTCTCAGGTACTTTCAAAGCTTCCTCAAACTTTTCAGCCTTTGCCAGTGCACTCATGATAGTAGTATAAGTTATCACATTAGCAGGGCACCCTTCAGCCTGCATTTCATCAAGAAGCTCATACACCTTGATGAAATTCCCTTCTTGACAGTAACACCGAATGATTGTGGAATAACTTATAACACAAGGGCGACAACCATATCCTTTCATCTCTTCAATTGTCCAATGTGCCTCGTCCACACGGCAGATTTTGCACCATCCATGAATGAATATGTTGAAGGTGTGAGCATTAGGAGCAATGTGCTGCTTCAGCTCCAAGAAAATTTCACGAGCTTGCTCCACAAATTTCTCTTTGCACAGGGTATCAAGCAACAAGTTCATGGATTCTATGTTCTTCTCCAACCCAAGAGCTTGCAAATCATCAAATATCTTAACTGCATCTACCCACTGCCCTGCCCCAACAAACCGTCTCATTACCTTAGCCACAGTATTTATAGTGACCAGACCACTCTTACGCATTTCATCTAACAAATCCCTCAACTTTTTCATAACCTTCATTCTACCCAATATATCGACCATCATATCGTATGACTCCGGCGAATGTCTAAAGCTCGACTGTGAACCAGCCCATCTAAATACACCCAGTGCAGATTGCCAATCATCCCTGTATCGCTGGAGCAATAGGTGAACAAGGTTTTGGGAGAGGGGTATGGCATCACAAGTTTCATCATTCAAGAGGGTGTGAAGAGCTTCTTCCTCACTGCTTCCTTTGCCAAGTTTCACAGTGAGAATAGCCAGGTACCTGATAAGCTCTTCTTCACATTGTTCTTTATGAGAAAAATATCTAGTTCCTAGAGAAGAACACAAATGCCTATATGCATAACATATGCAACGGGAATCACCAACAATAATAGCACGATATAATACGGAATGCATCCGGATGAGTTTCAGAAATTTCGAAACAAACAATCAGGAACTGAATTAAGCTTCACAGTGTGGAATAAGTGGACTCGGTTGCAGAATCGACAGAATCGTATGAGCTTGCGAGTTTAGAAGCGTTTGTGCGAGTTCGATGGACGAATTTTTTTAATCAAAACGAAGTCATATGGAGAGGACGAACTAGATTAGGGCTCCCTTGTGTTTAAACCCCTTTTTCTCGTGCATCAACCTCTCTCATCTTCCTCCCACATCAGATTAGGGTTCGAGTCTTTCGATTCACACTCTCTCACGCAGTGTCTCGCGCTCGCCGTCAACAACGTGGTTGCCATCGTTGTCGCCTAAGTCGTCATCGCCGTCACACTCAGTCGTCTTCGCCGTCACACTCAGTCGTCGTCGCTGTCGCGCTCAGTCGCCGTCGCCTCGAACATCGTTGGCTGGGTCATCCTTGACTCGCACATTGTTCCCAGTCGTCTCTCTTTTCCTCCTTCTACACTGTATAAGTTTTACTTTATATTATAACCATAATTAAACCAGTGACTTATTCGGCCCCCTTTTAGTCACTGTTAGTTAGCTTTTAATTTTAAAAGCAATTTTTGCATATTTATAAAATATAACATATTTTAATTTTGTAGTGAAAAACTAATATAATTAGAACATAATGTCTAGGAATAGTTGTAATTATACTTTACAATTTGAATTTATTTATTTTAAGTATTTTTGAGTTGTATAATTGTGTATACTTAAATTAAAATATTATTTATTTAATTTTTTTATCCAAGTAAACTTTACGAGTTTACATGTAGAGTCTACGAGTAGAGTTTT